TAAACTTAATATAGTTAACAAACTTAATAAACTTAATGATTTATTAAGTTTAATACATCTTATTAAGTTTAATAAATCTTATTAAGTTTATAAAGTTTATTAAATTATTTTGTTTATTAGTTTAAGGATTCTAGATTATGAAGTTTAATAATTTTATTAAGTTTAATAAACTTATTAAGTTTAATTAATTTATTAAGTTTAATAAATTTATTAAGTTTAACAAAAAATATTAAGTTTATTAAGTTTATTAATTTTATTAAGTTTTAAAAAATATTATGTTTATTAAGTTTATTAATTTTATTAACTTTAATAATTAAAATCAGTTAAGTTTATTAAGTTTCATAAATTACGGATTGACCCCATTAACTTAGCTTAAGAACAATTAAATCCGATTGTGATGTTGCCACCATAATATCATTTACTTCGTACATATGACATGTATTAACATATACTTTGTGTAGTTCTTGACACATTTTTATACATTGGATGGTTTCCACCATATTAGTGTAAACTTCGTGTAGTTGAGAAACTTTTTTCCTTTTATTAGACCATCTCCGAGAGAACCCTATATTTTTTTTTATATAATTTACACTAAAATAAAGTAATTTTATTATAAAATAATAGAGTAAATTTTACTTCAATAATTTACTCTATAATAGATTTACTCAATTATAAAATAAAATTAGTGGTTTTCTTATATAAATTTTAGTTTAATTTAATATTTTATACTATTTTGAATATATATATATAATGCATATATATATATATATATATCAAATTTTAAAAAATAAATTAGAAAATAAAATTTAAATTATTAAAGAGTAAGTGCTACTAATATTGAAAATAGATATTGAGATTTTAAATAAATTTACATGATATTTGATCAAAAACTGTAAAATGTATAGATGTGACAACTTGTTATTGTTTGATGAACTAGTTTTTGGCAAACTGATGTATTTAATCTTGTCTTTGTATAGGTAAATGTTTTTCTTTGAATTTCTGACAATGGCAATGTCTATGTATGTATTTTATTTTTTTTTATGTTGAAGCGCGTAATGTTTTTTCTCCAAAAAGTATAAAAATATCGTACCTGGTAATTCAAATTTATATAATTTTATATTCATTAGTTTTGTGTAAAAATTTAAAACATTTTTAAAAAATAATTGTATGTTAAATTAGTGTATACTTAATTTTATAATATAATCGTTCATAACTACAGTAATACTATTACACTGAATTTATATTACTTGATAGTTTTAAGCAAAACTATATACTGAACTTGTGTAACCTAACACGCATTACATATGTGTGCATGACATTTTGATAATTAATACAATTTTGGTTCTTGAATAATTATAGTAAACATATTATAACATTTATTACATCATCCATTGAACATTTGTTAGATACATTTATTATAACATCTATTTTCGATATGACTTAAAAGCTATATGAAATGAAGTTTAGATTATAAAAAATATAATTTAAATATATCTAGAGATTGTTAAAGAGAGATAGTTTAAGAGAGTGTAGCAAGTGCTTTTTTCCCTTGTGGAGAAAAAAGCCAATTTTAGTGTATAATATTGTAAAATACGATCCAGAAAACGACAGTGCGTGGGACATTTTTTTGTTATATGATATGAGGTTTTTCTATGTATTTGTATCAGTGAATGTAGAACATGTATTGTGTTTATATATCTTTAGGGTTGGTTGTATGGTCTTAACATTTGTATTACGTGCGGATTGTAGATTTATTGGGCGTTGCATAGAAAGTGATTTATATGCTTGTAAGCTTAAATGTGTGAAGGAGCTGAGACGAAAGAAAGAAGATTGTTTATTGTTATGATGAAATTAATATGCATGTTAGCTTTGCATAGCAGTGGGGGCTAGTTGTGTTAGTGAGATAATTTTAGAGTATTTGCACCCTCTATACACACAAAACCACTAAATTAGGATTCTACCCTATTTATCTCTATCTCTCTCTTTCCTCACATACCACTTTTTTCCCCCCAATTCTTAATTATCTCTCTCTTTTTGGGTATTCACCCAATTCACCCATAATTTTAACTATTTTCCATTCCCTAAACTCATGTGGGCCCATTTGTTGGATTGTCTGTCCATGGAAGTTGCATTATTTGTATAGATTTTTTTTTTGCTAAATATTATTTGTTTTATCTATAGAGTTGCTGTTTTTAAAAGAACATGTGTAGGTTTGTCTTATGTTTAGCTGTTTGTGAAGTATAAGTGTAGGTGTAGGTCAATATTTTAAAATCCGATAGTTCCAGCTTCTTTGTGGTTGACGTCGCTGAAGTGTTATAGAATCAATATGGAGAAACATAAGGACAATAACTTTCAATCTAGGATACAATGTGATAATCAAACAAACTATCTATTCAGGCTATCATATATTATTGTGACACTATATCTCTTTCTTGACCAGCCCAACGTTTTCTTTGAACTCTCTACAAATATCAAAACTAAACAGAGTCTCAAATCGAAATCAGATACAATATCTTCGAATACTAAGTGTTGTGAAATATATACATATTTATTCAAATAAGTGGAAGCCTAAGCATGCAATGCACCGCAAGTTTGCAAAAATCATCTTGCTGTCAAGAAACTCTATAACAGGTTTGTTCATCTGCTTCTCTTGGTCGTTGTTCTGGTCACCGTGTGCAGCGTCACATCCTTCTCTCCAGCTCTAGTTCTCTAACATCCTTAATTCTTCAAAGCTCTTCTTCTTTTTCTTCTTGATAGTAAAAAGTTTGTTTAATTCCTTGTATCTCCTAATCTATTGGAGGTTCTTTTACACAATTACACCTACAAACAACAAAAACACAAGAGCCAAATGGCGCCTTTATTGAAACTTCTTTTTTGTCACAGACTCAGTTTTAGTCATGGAATACAAAACCATGATGTCTCCTGGGAATAAATAAAAGCAAGATCAAGACGACTTTTAGAGCTCTCATTTGAAGAAGCATGGTGACTCTGATACTGGTTTGAGCTCCCAAAAGTAAATGACTCCTGGCCTGGGGAAGAAAGCAGACTCCTCCTTGAACTCCACTTCTTTTTGATACTGATTTTCAGCAGTGTGTCTCAGAGTTCCTGAAATAAAGTGTCTGTCGAGAAGCATAAGCAAAAGGCTCTTCCCAAGTGGCTGACGTATTATTATACATGGAAGATTTGGTTGCAAGTGGCTGATGTATTATAATTTGCAGATCTGGTTACAAATGCTAACTAAAGTGACCAAACTGGTATACGACTGCAAAGTGGATCTTTTTGTAGAAGTAGCAGCCTAATTATTACTACATTTACTCCAGTAATTTACATTATAGTAAATACTATAACCTTACATGAATTTCATCAATACAGTAGTGAGAACTGATCATAGATCATTTCTCATAGTTTAATTATGTAAAGGAAGCATGCACATGATGCACTACAACTCTGAAATGGTACATTCCACCAAAAGGCAATTCACAAAAATGTTACTTTGAATTTGCATACTTAGTCGAAAACATGGGTGTATATCCATGATTCAAACGAAAAAAAAAAATCTTTATTACCATATAAACAAACACTAAAAAAGATATCTTTACAATCTTTCATCTTGGTGATTATTAAAAAAAGCTTGAGTGAATGATAAATGTGGAACCCATAACTTCATTAGAAATTTGAACATCCTTATATGAATAGAGAAAGCAGACGTGAGGGCTCGCAAACAGTCAATATCGCTATGTACGTGTTAACGTCGACGGCTCATCGAGAGATTGGAAGCCACGCTGCAGATCGTAAAACAGAGTAAATCTTCCACTAAAAAGGCTTCAACGCATCTAAAAACAGAGCAGAGCTTTCTTAGTGATTATTCTCAAACAATGATTCCTATTCGTCAATGTACGGTATAAATTGATTAAGGCATACACATAAGGTAACTATGAGTCTAAAAATTGGTATTGTCGATGCATAATCCAATTACATTTACATAATAAGCTAATCAAACTAAAGATTTTGCTAAAGATCATACTGGAAAAAAACTAGGTTACATTTACATAATAAGCTAATCCTAAGATTCATAATAAGCTAATCAAACTAAAGATTTTGCTAAAGATGATACTGGAAAAAAAAATTAGCTTACATTTACATCCACTATGAGCAGCAGATCAAGAACTCAGATCAAAGACAAGTGTCTTGCAAAAGAGCACTGTGAGTTACATCAAGCCGTGTTAGAAATATCACGTCTTTAACGTAAAGGTAGAACCTTTATGAAAAACATTACATTGGAAGAGAGATCATATCCGATGGCATTATTTCCTACTCCATACAAGAGTAAAAGAGGATGATTCCTCTTCGGAGCCTGCAAAGGTGAAGACGTTAATCAGAAAAACAGAGGTTACAGAGAGTCAGGGTTGGTGAAGAGAGGGTAACCTTAGGAGGAGGGAAGTAGCGGCAGAGAGTGAGGCGCCAATCGTTGTTGGGAACAGTGACGTAATAAAGCTCGTCGGCGGTGCAAAGAGGAGGTTTCGTAGGGCTGGACTCAAGTGCTAACCGTCACAAAGGTGCTCCCTCCTACGTTATTGATTCCTTATAATCTATACCCCTAGATGTATATAGACCGTACATGTAACCAAGTCTGCTAGGTTAGGTAAAAGCAAGTTAGATTTGATATAACAGTAAATACCGCAGATAAAGGAGATATGAAAAAACTAACAAACCAATATACGTAAGTTTCATGGTCAATTATAAAAGTAAAAAAAAAAAAACAGATTAACAATAATTGATGCTAGAAAAATATTTGATCTTACTATGTAAAAAAGGATATCAACCTATGCATTTTAAAATATTTAGGCAAATGAAATAACTACCCCATAATAAGATAATGACAATAGCCGTCAATAGATCCGATACCGAATATTAACTGACAAATCCCTTAGAAGATATCATTCCTATATATAGGACTATATAGTTCATTTGTTCACAGATCTTCCTTAACACCATACACCATGAAAAGCTCAATGGTTCTAATGGTAATAGCTTTCCTTCACCTCATCGTTTTTCCGACCACAACTGTCGGCAAAAACTTGAGATTCCCGTCAAAACCTACCGAAGGATGGCCACATCCGTCTGAAGCCTCCACAAGCGAGATAGTTATGAGCAATTCCAATAAGATGTTTAACTATGGTGACTCCAAAGTTTGGAAATGTATTCATACCGACGGATCTGGTACAGTTATTTCCATTACAACTCCATCAAGGCCGTCATCTTCTACGCCATCAACTCCGTCTCCTACGCCTTCTACTCCCGAAACGTCTCCTTCGCCACCTACACCTTCGCCACCTATACCTTCTCCTCCGCCTCCAACTCCCAAAAAAGCTCCATTTTCATCTCCACCACCGCCAACACCATCGCCTCCTCCTCCAACTCCCAAGAAAACTCCATCTCCACCCCCTCCAACTCCATCTCCACCCCCTCCAACTCCGTCTCCACCGCCGCCAGCTCCCGTGAAAGCTCCATCTCCACCCCCACCAACACCGTCTCCACCCCCTCCAACTCCGTCTCCACCGCCGCCAACTCCCGTGAAATCTCCATCTCCACCACCGCCAACACCATCGCCTCCTCCTCCAACTCCCAAGAAAACTCCATCTCCACCCCCTCCAACTCCATCTCCACCCCCTCCAACTCCGTCTCCACCGCCGCCAGCTCCCGTGAAAGCTCCATCTCCACCCCCACCAACACCGTCTCCACCCCCTCCAACTCCGTCTCCACCGCCGCCAACTCCCGTGAAAGCTCCATCTCCACCACCGCCAACACTATCGCCTCCTCCTCCAACTCCCAAGAAATCTCCATCTCCACCACCACCAACACCATCTCTTCCACCTCCAACTCCCAAGAAGTCTCCGTCTCCACCACCGTCAACACCATCTCTTCCACCTCCTACGTCTCCACTGCCATCAACACCATCTCTTCCTCCTCCAACTCCCAAGAAGTCTCCCTCTCCTTCACCGCCAAGTGATGAGTCATCATCTCCTAGCCAGCCTTCGAACCCACCTCCGAAATATCATCATGAGTATCCACTGGAACACATTGGACGTTGTTATAGTAACATGGGACGTGTTGGGTTTTGTCGGGGAGAGATGGCGTACAGTTTCTACACGAGGTTGTTTAAAGTCAGCAAGTATTGTTGCAATCTTATCGTCAACATGAAAAACGAATGTGACGACGTTATTTGGGGATACTTCCAGGATCCTCTCTTCGTACCTCTTGTTCGATGCACTTGTCACGTCACCTTCTAGTTCTTTGTTTCTTTTCTTAGTTAGGGTTTTATTTATTTATCTTTTATTTAATAGTTGGTTTCTTCTTGTTTGAGTTCTTTTAATCATGCAATATTGTTGTCGTCCATATCTTATGGACGCCTCTTTTGTTATAATGTTTTAGTTAATGAATAACATGGCTTTCTTTTACTACCTTCCTAGCTTTGGTTTTTGTTTGCAATGAGAGATAAAATAAAGAACGTCAATAAAGATATTCTTTGTTTTATCTGACCAATTAAAAATATTCTTTGTTTCCATCGCCTTAAACCGTCAATAAAGAACGTCATCATCATTGTAGTAGCTGTCTTATGCCTCGTCTCGCTCCAAAAACCAACCATTGGTTCACAAACAAAACTGTGGCCTAAGCCTTCTGATCTAGCCAACCACAATGATAACAACTTTGGTGACTCTAAGGTTTCTTGGACTTGCTGCTGCACCCCAGATCCAAACGCTCCTCCTTAACCCCCTGGCTCGTTCCCTAGTATTCCCTCAAATCCAGATACCAAACATCCCTAGACTTCCCAACATTTCAAGTCTTTCAAAAGGAGCATTGGCCCCTTCCAATCTGTTCTTGTGTCGCAGTTCAGTGAGATAGAGAACTGTTTGAGAGGTGATAAGTCTAAATTTGGGGAGAAATGTTTTTTTTGTAGATCTTTTCGAGTTGGGCTGAGTACGATTTCTCTTTAGACAAATAGTGTTGTGAAAAGTGTAACGCTCATCTTCACATAGTTTTTTAGGAGCCATTTCTTTGCTCCTCTCCTTCAATATTCTTGTCACATCAAGCACTCCAAGAAAGTGTATCTCCTCCGTTGTGGATTTTATTTCATTTTTTCTATAGTTATCTGTTAGGGTATTATTTTGTTTTGTCCATTTATCATGGAAATCTCTTGATTTGTATTTGTGACATAGAGGTTGATTGGCAGCGGCTGTAAGTGTTTTAGATAGCTATTTTTCTTTCTAAAACATTTTTATAAATCAGTCATGTTTTAGTCTTAAAAAATAAAACTACAGCAAAAAAAATTAGAAAAGAAATTATGTTAGCTTTCCAAAGCAATTTTTTTACAACTTTTATTTAAGTGTTTTAAAAATAAATCCACAGCAAGAAAATTAAAGCTAAAACAAAAAATTCACAACTAATTTTCTAGAAAAAAAAAACTAAAGCTACAACACCAACCAATCAACTCCATAGTAGGTTTCTAGTCTTATCTACAACCTAGAAATTTGTTTACATTTTATAATTCGATTCTTTCCCTTCTGAAAACTCAAATATTGTTTTTAAACTTTTTTCTATCGGACTCAACAAGATGAGAAAATAAACTATTATTAGAAGGCTAGGAAATTTTATGGAAGTAATAGGTTCTTGTGGGCTTTTACCTGGGTCACCCGTGAGGCCGACAAACTGCACCTTAAGAGAACTATAAACTAATATTTCAGAAATTAAATTTTATAATTTGCATATATATATTTTATATTAAGAACTAAAAACATTTGTGAAAACGTATTAAGAAAAAATGTTTGTGTAAGACATCATAAATGTATGGTAATTATGATAAAAGAAAGAAATTATATAAGCGAGTTTTTGTTTGTTAATGAGCACGAAAAAGGTGGTTGTTAAATAAAGTCACAAAATTAATTTGAATAATATATATCTCTCTCTTTTTAGAGAATTTCTCAGTAAATATTTTAAGAACATTTTATATATATTAAAAGAGAAACAGTACAACATTTTATATGTGACATGTGTATCACTAGAATGCTTCTCAATGTTTATAAATTAGTTCATATAAACAAATAATATGTTTTTTTATAAAATCAACTATAAACTATTATTATTGCTCTTCATTTTTTCCTTAAATAAAAACAACGGAATTACCTAATATAATTTTTATATATCTATGATAATTAATGGTTTGAATAAGAAAGATTTGATAAAAAAATGAATACTCTGTTCTTATTTTAAAAATTTATATCATAAAAATAAATTAAACAATCACAGTAACTATATAATATATCAAATTAGATTTTTGTATATGTTATATTTTGAATTTTTAAAAATGACTATAAAATAATAAAAGCTTTAAAATAATATATAGCTAGATTTTTTGTGATTAATAATTTTTTTTATTATAACTAGATACGAACGATTTACATTCAGTGAGTAGAAAATATCATTTAAAATATCAGAATATATATATATATAATTTGTAATGACGTTTAATTAAACTGTATACCATATAAAAATTTTAATTTTAAAATTGCATTGAACAAGTATTGAAAACTTAATACTTTAGTTTCAAACTTTGAATTACTATTTTTTAAATGATTATGAATTACTATAAATATTAAACGTTTCTTCTTAAAGATTATATTATCAATGGTTTAAAAAATTATTATTAATGGTTTAAAATTTTTGTTACAAAATATACAAATGATCCTAAACCATATAAGTTTGAAATTTATTTAATAGATATAGACATTAAAACTATACTATATATATATCTATGTTAATATTATTTATTTCTAAATTTATTTATATAAAGTGATTGTAAAAATAAACAAGTGTGACTTTTTTATATATGTGACGCTAATTTAATTATATACAAATATTTGTTAATTTTCAATTATTCAAAATATGTATATATGTTATTTATTTTATAATATGTAAAAGAACGCAATATCTCTATAATATTATTTGAGAAGTCAGTTTCCTACGTGTCGCGCTCACGTTAACTCTCACGATGGTTGATTACATAGATACCCTTAATGAATTGGTAAATTTTAAGATTATTATTTTTTATTTAGTTTCCTTTTTAACTTTTTCCAAATAACATATATAATAAAAAGGAAATATTTCTAAAATTTTAAAACAAATTTAAAAACGAAAATATATGTATATAATAAGACTTTATTAAAAAGGAAAGTTCACAAAATAATAATATCTCCATTAATATATATTTTTAAATAATATAAAATATATTTTCAAAATAATAAAATTATATATGTTCATGAACATTCAAAAATTTATCAGTTACACTTTATTTTCTAATATTATTTAGAAGTCAACACATAATTTGATAAATATTATGAAAATACATGTATATTTAATATTTAAGTGATAAATAAAACTAAATTTTGATTTGACTTAACTAAAATAAAGAGTAAATAAATATTATAAAAATACATGTATATTTAAGCGATAAATAAAACTAATTTGATTTGACTTAACTAAAATTAAAAGTATTTATACTTCAATTTTAAATTTAAAAATATATTTAACTCAATATACTCACAAAATGAATGACTCGACTAATCTAATTTATATCCAAAATTAAACATCTAACTACAATAAGAACATATAATTTTAGAATAATAATAATAGTAATAATAATAATAATAATAATCTATTTAATTTTATACATATAAATTAGAGGTTGACTCAAAGCATATTAAAAAGAAAAACAAAATATTAACCAATTACAATTTAATTCTTTTGTAGAATTTATATATATGCATGAGACTTCAAAATATTATCATTATATTCATTTATTTAATTTTGAATCAAACACTTCAGCTTATTATTTATTTCAATTTAAGCATAATATATATTAAGTTATACATAATTTAACTATAATATATTTACATATCTAAAAATAAATACATATCTAAGACAANTTATTATTTATTTCAATTTAAGCATAATATATATTAAGTTATACATAATTTAACTATAATATATTTACATATCTAAAAATAAATACATATCTAAGACAATAACCAACCGAAATGAAAATAAGAAAATTAATCAAAGTTTTATTATAGCTGAATTCGAAAATAGATATTATCCAATATACCAAATTGATAACCAAATCGACTATTGATCCAAAAAATAATTAAACCTACAATAATATATCCAAAAGTCATATGTATAATTAAACTAATATAATATTTATTAATATAAATTATGCATATGTTTATTCAAAACTAAAACTAAATATCAGTCAGTTATTATATAATTTTACTTTTATGAATATTCATACCCGTGCATGAGCACGGGAAAATCACCTAGTAGATATAATTTGTGTATACGATTTTTATCCCGTGTGAATCTTAACCTAATGATTGATAAAGTATATGAACTATACAAGGAAGGTGAACAAAAAAAAAAGAACTATACAAGGACAGAAACATATTTAAAATGGTTTTCTGAATTTCAGTTACAGCTACTGACCAACTCCTTTTGGGACCTCTTGAATTAATGCTTGTTACTGGCTTCATCCTCCACACATCAAAAGAACACGTAGCTGAAAGGTGACGGTGCGACACAAAGCAGGAAGATATAAACATATATACATCCCCATCTCTTTATTTATTGTGACTGAAAATAGTACTTTGAAAAAAAACAAGAACTCAGAATATGATGAGAATGACCAGACAGTATGTTATTATCAAAATCACATAATAACGGATAGTATTGATATAGCTTTTAAATTTTTGAAGGCGGAGATTTTGCACTAATGCACTATATTATATGGTTTTGTTGAATAAATCTGAATTTTGGTAGGATGCATATATAATCTGTAGATATCAACCTAATTGTAGATATGAACTATCAGATGTAAATAGCTATATTTATCTATAATTTTATGACTTATTCTTGGTCACCCTCTAGGTTCACCATCCAATAAAATTGCATCATTTTCTATTTGATATCTTTTAAAAAAGGAAACAAAATCTTATTAAGTTATATTGTGTGTTTTAAATATAAAAATACAAAAAAAGAATAAAAAAAATAATTAAGAAAAACGAAAATAATTATTTTTAAAAAAAAAATTAACATTAAACTCTAAAGTCTAATCTTAGGTAAATCACAAACCTTTGGATAAATCTATAAAAATTTTGTGTTTATGATTTACTCAAGGGTTTAGGGTTTAGGATTAGAGTTTAGGGTTTAGTGTTTATGATTTACCTAAGGGTTTACGGTTTAGGATTAGAGTTTAGGGTTTAGTGTTTATGATTTACCCAAGGGTTTAGGGTTTAGTATCAGAGTTTAGGGTTTAGTGTTTTAGTGAAAAGAATTTTTTTATAAAATTTACCAAAAATTTATGATTTACCAAGGGGTTTAGGGTTTAGGCTTAGAGTTTAGGGTTTAATGTTAAAATATTTTTTTTTAAAGAATTATTTTCGTTTTTATTAATTATTATTTATTTATTTTTCTATTTTTATTTTTAAAAACATAATATAACTTAACAAGATTTTGTTTCCTTTTTTAAAAGATATCAAATATGAAATGATGCAATCCTATTGGATGGTGAATTTAGAGGTTCACCTAGGGGGTGAACCCAAGAATAACTCTAATTTTATTCTTGTGTATAAAGTCTCTTTCTTAATATGAACTTAACTATAAATCTACACCAAAAGTAGATTGAATACCATTCAAATAGACAAATACTATATGGTCTGAGCTGCTATATATATATATATGTATCTGTATACGTATATGTTTCATGTTAAGGTGATCAAAGGGCATCAATACTATTAAAACACCCCTATTAAAATATAAATAATTTTTATTTACTTATAAATAGTATAGGTTGAACCATGACATTTAACTAAACACGTTATTATTTTTATTTATTTCTAACTTAATTATTATTAAATATATACATTATACTAAAATTAAGAAACTAAATATCTAATCTATTGTTTTTAAAATAGCATATTCAATTTATATTTACATTAGATTTTAGTAACTAATCCGAACATTATATATATCTACTAATTCGTATATATACAATTGTACTCTAATCCAAATACAATAAATATTTTTTTTAGAAATCCTTACCAAATACATAATATAATTCTTATAGATAAAGTATTAAAACTTTATATATATATATATATATATATATATATATGTATATATATGTATATATTAAGTATTTTATGAAATTATTTTACGGTTATTCTAACAAAAAAATTAAAATATTTATCAAATATAAAACAAATTGAATAAAACATAAAAAATAATTTAAGTTAGGTTTGGGTGTTTAAGTATCTTATGGATTGGTTATTTTAAATGTCAGTTTTAATTTATATCACATATAAGTTTTTGATAAATTTGTAAGTACGAATCAGGTTCAGATAATTTGTGTCACATCCTACAACTCAGCCATATATTATTCGGAGGCTTCAGAATATATTGGTTCAATTCGGATATATCTGGAGTTAAAACCAAAGTTTAAAAGGAAAATATTAAATATAAATATTTATTTATATAAAATTGGATATTTAAATTATTTATTTAAATACTTATCTTTTTATATCATTTCAAAATAAATATAGAGTTGAATATTTAAAAATAAATATTTTTAAAAAATATTTATATTTATGATTAATTTTCTTGAGTTCTGGATTTTTTTCTGGTTTTTTGAATTATTTATTTAGGTTCGGCTAACAACATTTATGGTTCACATATTTTTTTGTACCATACTATAAAATCTATTTTGGTGTTTTTTTTTTTGTTTAGGACTGGATACAGATTTTTTTTTGTTAAGGTTTAGTTCAAACTTCAGATTATAAATTTTCTGTAAAGAAAAATATGTAATTATATAAAAAATTTACTGAAAATTATTCTATTTTTAAGACGCAGAAGTTCAGAAGATATGGAGTACCCACTTCCCCATTTCTGGTCCCATACGTAGTAACTTTTATTTATATTTTTTTTTGTATTTTGTTCGTTTCTTGTTGCCATTTTCATTTTCCCCACCTTTATCTCCCCCAGATCTGCAAGAATCTATCAAGAAAATCCTCATCTTTCACAATTCACACTCCAACCCTATCCAATACATTTAATGTGATGAAAAAGTCAGTCGGAGGAGAATCTTAGATAAGTCTAAACTTTGATTAATAATGATGCAGAACTAGTCTGAGAGCACCCCCATTAGAGTATCAAATGGGGGGGTTCACACGGTTCCCCAAAAAACAAAACAATATAAAATTGTTTTTTTCTTGAACCTGTATCATGAAAGCTCCCGGTGGTGATACTGGTTCGCCACGAGTTCGCCACGTGGCGGACCATGATTGGTCGAATTTTTTTTTTTTTGAAAAAGTCAAACGAAATTAAAAAAAAAAAAAATTAAAAAGCTTATCTCGGGGATCGCGCCAGAGGGTGTTTGCTGCTGGATATGCTCTGAGTATACCATAAAAGTATAACTTGTTTGAGTAAACCATAAAAACAAGAGTAATCCATTAGTTCTATAGGTATAACTACCCACCTGTGTGAACTTAAGAGAGAAAACAGGATTACCAATCATGTACGTACATATTCAAAATTCAAAATACGTATATATGTTGTATCGTTAATCTAAAAGTATACGTATATCTAGAAGCTTCGGTGAACTAAGAAAAAATAGATGCATATGTTATTTTGTAATGTTGTATGTTATTAGGAAAGAGACAGGGTTACATGAAGGGACTACCCTAGTATTGATAGAGGCAATAACACTTGATCATGCTGAATTGCTGATGAGCTGTAGACAGAAGAGGAAAGGGGGCAACAAATCTCCAACTTGCAAGACAAAAATAAAAGCCAAATCTTATATACAAAATCAAAGGGGAAATAATAATATTCCCCCTAAAGGAAAGCAATTGGCTTCGATCTATTAAATAAAGTGTTATCTTCTTCGTAAGTTTTCTTCATTCTAAATAAAATATAGTTTATATTAAAAATGCATATATACTATGTGATACTTTACTATATAACAGTACCACGATAACACTAATCACGTGTAATTCTGCATCAGGTTTTAACCACGGTTAGTAAATCACACATGATTTGTCTATATTCATATTTTAGAATCAAGTTAGTTATCCGATGAAATCCAAATTAGTCCAAAATCTGTTTATAACGATCACATAAACAAATACAAATCAATTTTCAGCATGCAGTAAAACTTGATCCATAATATTGACCAATAAATGAGTCCTCAAGACATCAACCACTTAAATTTTAAAAGTCCACCTACATAGTCTTCTGAGTCTAACGAGTAGGAACCAATTGCCACAACTTCTTCCACATGACATGGCTCTATGTCTAAGAACCACAACATACACTGGAGACCATGTTTTACCTAGAACACATATTTATTTATATGTAGAAAATTCACACATTTTCTTCAATGAACTCGATTATTCCAACGCATAATTTACAAATCCCGCCTCCTTAGTCTTTCGAAACATCTTTTGAGTCTAACAAGTAGGAACCAGTTGCCACAAATTATTCCACATGGCATGTCTCTGTCTAAGAACCACAATTTACACTGGAGACCATGTTTCACTCATATTAATATATTTTTTACGTATATTAACAAAACTATATATACGTATATTAATGAAGGTATATAGATAAAAAAAAATTAGATCTCGGCAAATATTAATATATTTTTAATATTTTATTAAAGTAGATGGAAACTTTATGATAAAAATGGCAAAGAAAGGTTTAAATATATAAAGCCACCAAATTCTATCTAGTCCACAAGAATATTTCTCCCCCTCACAACAGTCAACACAATCTTATTAAATAGAGAAAGAAAAGAGAGTTTAGAGGTTGGCCTAGGTTTAAGGGGGCAGCTTACGTCGACAACTATAAGAATTACAATTTTTATCCACAATTCAGAGAGAAGTATAGACTATAAATAGAAAAGAAGGTGAGGAAAGGAAAGTGGTCAATCATAAAGGTCTGATGATGATGAGAAACGTAGGGAGTTCGAGCTACGGCGGCAAAGGCATAGCGGCGGTGGTCGGCGTCGGTCCAAAGCTAGGCCGTTCAGTCGCTCAAAAGTTCGCACATGAAGGTTATACCGTCGCCATTCTCGCCCGCGATCTAGGTTTGAGTCCTCTCACTTTCTATTACTTGTTGTTGTTGTTGTGTATCGATTTATCTCTACCTATACATACATAGACACACACATAGACTAGCAGAGATTCAATGTATATGTATGTGCCTTTTTCTAACGCGCCCACGGAATTTTCCTTCTCTATATATTATTTTCCAAAGAAGATAAAGAAATTGCGGCAGTTTTTCTTTTCAAAAAGCTATTTTAGACCGAAAAGCCTGTGGTCAAATGGTAAACGGAACGACTTGAGATGGCTTCACATTTCAGGTTTAATCCACCTGCCATACGAAACTAAAGCACATTTTTTATGTCATCTTACATGAAATCGGCTATATTTTTATTCATTTGAATACCTAGAAAAAAGTATATCCGTAGACTATACCTCTCATCCAAAAGTTAACTTTATATCTTTAATAGACTTGGATTTAACTCTTTTCGATAAAAAAAAAAGCTATTTTACAAAAAAATATTTCTTCTTAGATGTAAGGTCAAAAGGTGCTCTCTTATACAGTATATTTTTAATGTAAATTTTGTTAAAAAGATTTCAGATTTTTTAACAAGATTTTGAGTTTTACATCTTTAAATAGCTATAGGGTTAACTGGTTGGCAACCTGTCTATATTTTTAATAAATTTGAAATCTTTGTAACAAAATTTACTGTGTCAGTCTTACACTGAGTTACAGTGGTTGGTAATTACGACATAATAAAGTAAATTTTCTTCTTATACAATAAATAACACACAGCCAAGAAGCTTTATCAGTTTCTGCAACATGCTGAACTGAGCTCTTTTAGAACAAGTTGACTGAAAACTTATTCATTTAAATTGAAATAATTTCATTATATTCGACAAAAGGTATTTGAAATTGTTGGAGTTTTATTCTTCATCCTGTTTCGTAATGAAAACTTATTTACTTACCTGATTTCTATTTAGTTTTAAGAAAAGCTATCCATTTATAAGTCCTAACTCTTTCATTCCACTTAATTCCTTCTCTCATATTCTTACTTACCAGTCACACCCATGTACAGTACTTACATCAATCACATAACGGTGCATTCATCGTCTCTAGTAAATAGAAACATAATACTTCAACTCACTCTCTTGATATATATGGTCGGCCAAATTGTGCAGGTAGGTTATCTCATGTGGCTGAAGAGATAGCGAGAGAAGAGAAAGCGCAAGTGTTTGCTATAAGAATTGATTGTGCAGATCCAAGAAGCGTAAGAGAAGCCTTCGAAGGAGTGTTGTCTTTAGGGTTTGTCGAGGTTTTGGTGTACAATGCTTATCACTCTTCTTCTTCTTACACAAGTCATCATCCCATTTCCTTCACCCATATTCCTTTCCAAACTTTCCAAACTTCTCTTTCCGTCTCTGTCTTCGCTGCATTCCTGTGCGCCCAACAGGTATACATTTGTCCAAATGAAATCCTTATAAAAATACTTGAAATAATTACTTGGTTTTCTGAATTTTGTGGCGATTGTTTATGTTAATGTATTTGGACCAATAATATCCACTTATGAACAAAACTTGTTACTACTTACTAGTATCGGAGCTATCAGTGTCTATTAGACTTGCAATATTTTGCTTCAAAATGAATAGGATCATTTCTGTCGTAGCTATTTATTTATTCTATAGTTTTAATCATTTGTTATTGTATACTAGTTCTGTATAAAATATTGCTTTTATTTTCTTAGAGTAATCTTTAGCCTGTAGTGAGTAACTTCGACATTTTGAAATTTTGATAGAATTTAATAATTTGTTGGTGTATTGGTTTTTCTTTAATTGTTGAAGAGTTGATCGATGTATAGTTTTTTTTTTGGGAAAAGTGATTGATGTATAGTTGTGTATAATTTATTTTAAAATACTGTTTTATTTTGTGTGATTAAGCTGGGTTTGTAGGGTATATGTATTGAGTGATTTCAACACTTTGATTTTTTTGTATGTAGGTTGACAAAAGGGAATTTTTATGTAAGAAAATTATATTGCTGTAAAAAGTTCTTTAATTTTGATTTATTTTCATAAATATGTACCAAAAGGTTATTCCCGGGATGATGGAGAAAGGAAAAGGAACTATACTCTTCACCGGTTGCTCGGCCTCATTGAATGGCGTTGCTGGTTTCTCCGAGCTATGTAATTATCTTTTGAATATTTTAATATATTTAAAAACATATCCTTTTATAAGCATATTATCCACTATATAAATATATCCTTAAAAAATGGATTATCCAGTGTATACATATTTGAAAATGAAACAGGCTGTGGGAAATTTGCATTGAGAGCTCTTTCTCAATGCTTAGCAAGAGAATATCAAGCTTTTGGAATACATGTGGCTCATGTTATCATCGACGGTGTGGTTGGACCTCCAAGGTACGTAAATTATATGGTCATTAACTACATATACATATATATATTTTTTTTTATCTACAAAAATAGGAAAAGTGATAGAAGATGAAACTAGAACCACAATACGGTATAGAAAGAACTTTTTATACCTTCCACAAACGCAGTTCTGATCCGAACCGACAAGATTCTACCTAAAAAAATAGAGATGTTTATATTTACTTTTTAAGAATCGCTAAATAACTTCTTCACTATCGAACTTAACCAGAAAAAAACTTTTGATTGATGCGAGATATTGATAGTTTGGCACATTAAGCATTTGAAGATCAAAAAATAGCATTTAAATAAAAGATGGAAAAAAAAACTCGGGAAAAATGTATTTTCAGAGAAACAAACATCCCACCAAGAGGAGTGGTCGCAGAGCAATCATGCAACGTTGGAGGGAAAGATGGAGAAGGAGAAGGAGAAAGCTCGGGAGTGATGGGAATGGATCCTGATGTATTGGCTCAAACATATTGGAGCCTTCATGTTCAAGACCGGAGAGCTTGGACTCAAGAACTCGATATCCGACCATCAAACACAAGGTTCTAGTAGTTAAAATATGGTTCGTATGTTATGGTAAGTATGTGTGATCATTTGATATGTATATTCTTGCATTTGGAATGTCCATTAAGTGCGTTGCAAAGGGGTTTGGTTGTGATTGATGTGAATGATCTATCAATCTCATATCATAGCTTTTGGGTTTTTAAATTCCACATGCGACTTTCGGAATTAGGGATGATGTTTGGTTTTGTCGGGTAAAGTTTAATATTTTACAAAATGACTCCGTGTTTAAAGTTAGGACACAAGAACGGATCCGACATGTCATGTGAATGGAAATAATCTGATTGATTACAAATAATTTATGGACCCCCTCTAAAGAAGCAATCGTCCTTTAAGTATTGTCACGTCCAAGAATTTCCAGGGTCCATTTGTTTCACAAAAGAGTAAAACGTTGAATCACAATCATCAAAAGAATATAAACATATCAGATAAAAAAAGTAATTATTAGAAATACCACAAGTTAAGTACTCTTTTTCAAAAATACTACTACTCCAAAAATATACTAAAATTTGAGTTTAGACTTTAGTGATTATCGTTTAGGATTTAGTGTTAAGAGCACCAGCGATGGTGAGAGTAGACACAAATTATTAGAAATAGTAATTAGGATTTTTTTTTATTATTATTTATTTTTTTAAGCTGAAAAAAAGGAATAACAATTTGGGACACAGGAATTGATCTTTAATCAAGGAATACAAGAGGTTTTTGTGACACAACAACCTAAAAAAAGTGGGACCGCATGAATAATTTATTAATTTTTTAACAGTTAAAGATCATTTAAAATTTTGTTTTGCGGCTGGTCTAAGGGGTTGGGATTGAGATTATAAATGTTATATAAATATTTAAAAAAATAGTTTAGTGTTATTTTATCACAAATGTTTATATTTGTGAAAATTAGTCGTTCATTTACCAAAAACTGCTATCAAACTTATAGTGAAATTTTAATTTTCCCATTAAAGAAAAAAGAGTAATAATAAGTTTTGATCAACAAGACATAGGCACATATAGCTAGAGAGTTCTTTGACTACACATAAATTGAGCTAGCACTGTGCGCTTGTCTTGCCTGAAGGAGCGAAACTAGGCCACACAACTAGTACACTAAAGAATTTACAACGCTCTCATGAAGCTTAGATAAGGTGTGAAGAGAACAAAATTTCCAACATCTCTGACAGACTGACACTATGTTTGGAATATTATTTATTACCTTGGTAAGAGATAGATGTTAGATAAAACTACTTCACTGCTCCTATATATGAAGACCACATGAAGGAAATTACATAACCGCAGAGAAAGTACACCATAGACAAGCTCAGGCTTCAGCCCAATGTATTTCTCAGCCTAAAGCAAAAAAAATAATATTATTTAACAAACTCTTCTTTGAAAAAAAAAAAAGAACAGATGAACATGCATGTAATGTAGGTTGAACTTCTCACCCTTAAGCAACCTAAACAACTACACCACAACTAACTTTTGTCATAAGTCCAGTCAACCACCTACTTGTTGGGGTTTAACCAAAGGCCACCCCTGAATGTAGACATATATGCAGACAAAATAGAGAAGTTTCTCTTAGGACAATGCAAAAACATAAAAAGAACTAACAACATAGCTAAAGCATACTAAAATTGCTGCAATGCTCAGAAAAAACTAATTTTAATACAATTATACAAACTGGTTTTGTGTTCAGCTAAACTAATCGTAAATTACTCTTTAAGATTAAGCTCTGTACTTTAAATGCTTCAAGATATGCTACAAACAATGAGAGTTAGACAAGAAATGCTTATTAATCAATCGTTACATAATTATAATAATTAATCCATAGAAGCTCAACGAGAGATTTAATTTATACAAAAGGAAGTAATCAAGATTCATAAACCCTAAAGTGATAAACCCTTGAGCAAGCGAGTGACTTTATCTACAAGAGAGTCTTTGTCTTCATCATCCTCTTCCTCATCTTCATCTTCATCGTCGTCATCATCGAAGTCCGAATCTGAATCCGTGGAGTCATCTTCACTCCATTCGCTATCATCTCCACTGTTTCAAATTAATACAGAATCATCAAAAACTACGATTACATCGGATATATGCAAATTAATACCTCAAGCTCCGATCATCTTCTTCTTCCTCTCCATCATCATCTTGTTCTTGTTCTTGTTCTTGTTCTTGTTCTTGTTCTTCTTCTTCACTGGTATCTCCATCATTATTGTTTTCTTCTTCTTCTTCTTCATCGGAGCTACAAAAGTCGATGATCTCCTTTTCATCCGCCATGGAAATTTCAAAAAGCAAACGGCCTTTGAATTTTTTTTGGGGGATATTTTTAGTAAAAATTTAAAGATTGTCGGAGCCCCGACAGAGACTCTTCAACTAGATCCGCTTGTCTGTCGTAATTACAGTTGGATCCTTTTTTAAATGATTTCTGTTTGTGTAGTCTTTTTTTATGTAACAAAATACCTGATTGTTATTTTCTCTCTATATATATAAAATTTTGTTTATTGTTAATGTACAGAAATGAAGAAATTAATATTTATTTTAAGTAAATAACGGATTTAACGTCATTTCATCAATTTTAAAATGAGATTACAAAGTCGTTTCATAAATTTCTATAGGAAAATGTATCATATACTAAAAAAGAAATAATCTAAGATAGCATTAAAACATTTTTAATTCCTGAACAAGAGAAAAAAATTAAAATAGAATTAACTAAGAATTGAAATGACAATTTATTTATGTTTGGGTTTAATGATTTTTTTTTGTCAATATCCATTTTTAAAGATTAAGTGATGGTCGAATTTAGTCGTTTCGAAGATACGATCAGTCTAGTCAGATCTGATCAACATGGAAAATGAGAATGTTGTTGCTTCTTGGTATCTTTGCTAGGGCATACGTTCGTAAATTCTTGGCCCTGAGAATATGAGAGATGCTGAAACGTTTGGGTTTAATGATTAGAGTATAAAATTTAGTATGTAGAAGATGATATTAAGGTAACAATTCAGAGGGTAGAATAATTTAATTATTTTATATTTTAGTTTATGCTATTTTGAAAGAGATAAAAGTTCTATGTTATTTGTCCTAAAATTTTTCTTTGTGTTATTTAAAAGAGTTGACCAAAAATCTGTGTTATTTTTGCCAAATTTTGTATCAGTTTGCTGTTTCTATGTAAATTTGTGCACAATTGCAAAAGTGGCAAAAAGACATGTGGAATTGAGGGATACACACACTTCCCTCTTCAACATCAGAACCGGCCCATATTATTCAAGTTCCAAACTCTTGTGAGATTGAAGACTCTCACTGTTGGATGGTCATGGTTGAAGGTGTTGAGTATCAAATCTTCTCTTCAGACAATACATGTAATAAGGCCGAGAGCACCAGTAGAACCATAGGCTTATTCAGTTTGGTTCAAATGGACAACTCCATTTTTATGTGATTCACACAACTAGAGCGACTTCCTGACAAGAAGCAGATTTGTTTTATGCTGAGAATCCAAATTCCAGTTAACTTTTGTCTATGTTAATCATCAGGACGGTAACAAGTAACAACTAACAAGAGATAATTTACTAGTTGGACTGTTCTTGTAGTCAGTTCATTTGGTAGACCACTGATACCAAACTAGTTTTGATGCTTTTCAAGACTTGAGACTTCCAATTTTTTTTTAGAAAAAAAAAACACAAAATAAGAGAGAAACAATCGGAGAATAAGATTTGTATCAGAATCCAAATCTAGAAGTCATGTCAGAAACATCATCAATCATCATAAATTACCAAAAATCCAAATCTAGAAGTCATGTCAGAAACATCATCAATCGTCATAAATTACCAAATTTAGAAACTACCCCATCCTCTACAAACTAACACACACACACTTCTCTTTTTAGCTACACTCTCTTCGTTTCAGCTTTCATCACAAAAGACAAATCCATATTAAACCCCAATTGGTCTACCTGGGACAGAAGAGATCTCAGACAAATCTCATACATATTCTGAGCTCTCTAATCACCATTCTAATGAGCTTTAATAGTGCGGCTAGACACACCATGTAACAGTTTCACAAACCCAAGAAAGCTAAGCTTTCCATCGGTGTGTCTTAGCCAATCATGAAGCACTGCATGGACCGGTACAGAAGGACCAAGACCAAGTTCCTGAAAAAACAAGTTCAACCAATGAGTTAGTTACAACAATTTTCACTACATTGTTGTAATAAAAAGGACGGACCGAAGCAAGCTCATCTATCATGATGGGTCTGTTCCCTTCCTTTTCGAAAATCTCATAAGCACAACGAGCGTGTTGTTCCCATCTACCAAGAGCTTCTAGCTGGTGAACACTCAATGCTGCTGCACAGAACTCTTCAAAGTCCATTCTTCTATATTGAAGAGCACTCAGCTAATACACAGCCCACCAAAAATATGCAAACTCTTAAAGTCAAAACTGTGTGATCTCAAACATTAAATTGTTTAGTTAAGAATCTTACTTGTGGTAAGAATTCAGGTATACGTGAATCCTTCATTGCATCTGTTGCCATTTTCATCAGAGCCTAACCAAAAGAGAGTTTGAGCAAGTGTTCATGTTAATAAACTAAAAACTCAGATGGAAGAAGATAGAAAAGCTTTACAGATTTGATGTTTTCTAGACTTATAGTTCCGTTCTTGCTAGGTTCTAGTAAAGCAAACTGTTCCCTTAGATAAAACAGTTCATCAGTCGTAAGTGTTTTTGACAAAGCCTGCAAGAACATAGTGAATGGTAAGCAAAAACATAAACACTCATTTAAAAACATACTGATCTACTCACCCTTAATGCAGCTTTACGGAGAGACGATGATCTTAAATAAGCTCTCATAAGTTTGAAAACAAGAATATCCAATGGAATCTTGGCGTCATTTGAGTCCTTTATCCATGGATGACCTGAAACAAATGGTAACGATTACACAATCTTTTCCACATTCAACACTCAAAACAGTCTTTAAATTGCGCTCTACGTTTACTTACTTAAGGCTTGAGCAGCTGTTAATCTTTTACGTGGATCTTTATTTAACAACCTTTTCACAAAATCTCTTGCCTCTGAAGATAACAAAGGCCAAGGAGGGTCATCAAAAGTGGGATCTGCTTTTAGAACAGCACGGAAGATTCCTGATTCTGTCCTAGCCCAAAACGGTCTGCTTCCACATAATAGAATATAGAGTATGACACCAACACTCCAGATATCAGCTTCTGTGCTATAAGATCTGTGTAGAACTTCTGGTGCTACGTAGTACGCACTACCAACAATGTCATTGAGCCTCTCATCTGCAAATGGAATTGTACAAAGTATATAATAAGCAAATGTTGGTCTTGTAAGTAGAAGACAAGTTTTTTTACCTGGTCTTACGTAATCTGACAAGCCAAAATCAATTGCTTTTAGCTGAGAAGTGTCTTCTTTTGAAGTATAAAGGAAATTCTGATCCATACAGTTTGAGTAAACTTCTATAAGATTGTGATGAAGATCAAATGTATAAGTAGAAGTAGAGAGTTTTTTATCACCTCTGGTTTGAGATCACGGTGTACAACACCTTGGAGATGACAAAAGGCAACCACATTCAATATCTGAATCATAACAGTCTTTGCATCCTCCTCTGTGTACTTCCCACCTCTACACATAAAACACTAGCAAGTTCAATAAAGAAACAATGCCCAAACAACAATTGCTCAATATTATTCCCAACTCAGTTCTAGCCGAAACAATTTTCTTAAAATTCAATTTATACAACTCAAATTCATTTAAACTGTTCTAAATTAGTTAAAATCGATTTAAATCAATCTTCATTAGTCTAAATCTGTTAAATTAAGCATTAATATAAGTATCTACAAATTTATCTAATTTATTTTGTTTTGTATATCTAGTTTTAATAATTTATCAAAATAATAACGAAACCCAAAAACAAAATATCTTATATAAGTGTGAAATATTTATAAAATAAACCAATAATTCGATAACGGCCTAGGTCTTGAATAATCCGCCTAGTCATAGTCCTCTATATCGCCTAGCTATTTATTAAACATTGACGAAAACAAACTTATCCATTTACCTTGAAAGTATTCTATCCAAAAGCTCTCCTCCTTCACATAGCCTAAAACAACAAACCACATTGTTAAAGACTCTCCAAACACTGATTTTATCATATAACATCTAAACTAAAAGAGAGAGCTTACTTACTCCATCACAATATAGACATTATCATGATCCTCATAAGCATCATAGAAATGAGGAAGATTATCATGACCAGACAACGCTCTCAATATCTTCACTTCCCTCCTCACATCTTCAATAGCAATAGCCGTCGTCATCTAACACAAACCAAAATCAAAACCAATCAAATCCACAAAACATTATCACAATCAAAACACACAAAAAAGAAAAAAAACACAAACCTTTGCTTTGGGAATAACCTTAACAGCCACTTGTTGTCCTCCTTTCTTACACTTAGCAGCACAAGTATACCCAAAATGCCCTCGACCCACTTCATCCCCAACCTCGTACTTCCCCGAGAACCCCTTCGAGAACCCGAAGCTCTTGTCCAAACCCACTTCTTCCTCCGGGATCGCCTTCACGGAGCCGTGCCGTCTCGCGAGGAGAGCTCTGATGTGTTTGGCCGGAGACGGCGGAGGAAACGGCCGTTTGAAGAGCCGTTTCGGCGTTGAGTTCCCGCTCGTCGCCGGAGATCTCGCCGGAGTTTTCTTGGAGAAGAATGGACTTGGGCTGTAGAAAGGGAAGAACGGAGATTTGTTGCCGTCATTGTCGGCGGAGGAGGTTAAAGGAGGAGACTTTACGGATTCTGACGACGGAAGAGGACTGTTCCGGGCCGGAACTTGGTCGGAGCTTGGAGGTTTGGAGTGGCAGAGACCCATCAATCACACGAGTGCTTCAAATTTTGAAAATCTTTGCAAAGGAGAAACTGAACTTTGTGTTGTGTCTTTATCGATTTTTGTTTAATTTTGGATTTGTGTTTCGTCTTGTTTCTTTGGAAGGATCTGCTTTGTCGATGGCGAGATATTTGGATCCAAGAGAATAAGTTAAACTGAGAGAAAACTACAAAGTTTATTACATTGAACTACTCTACCTAATTATAATTAACTTCAAATCAGTATACTAATTACTTAATTTGCTACAAATGAACACTACATCTCGGTGACATAATAAAGAGGTGTGTGTATCTATAGAAAATAGGAGAAATTGGTGAAAATGATCCATTTTAAAATTTCTGTGAATAGTCTTGCGGCGATAATTTTGTGTAATTTGTGATAAAATTTTGGCATTGGAATATTAGTGTGAGTAGTCGTGCGGCGATAATTTTGGGTAATTTGTGATAATGAATTTTAAAATTTTGGTATTGTCTCAATCAAGAAAATAAAGTCTAACTAACTTCATTAAATACTATAGTTTATTTGAATTAAGTTATTTGGGGGAGGATTTACATTGGACAGTTCAATGACATTGACAGAATATTGTATACACTTGTACAAATGCATTTAAAATCCTACCAACTCTTGAATGTGCACAAGATTTTTCTATCCGGATAACCTTTTTGGCAAGGATGTTAGTAAATCAGTTTAACATTGATGATTATGCGTAGTATGGATCTAACGAGTTTCAGCAGAGCTAAGTGCCTAAGTGTTTTTTTTTTTGGTTTACTGAGAAAATGTAGTTTAAAACGTTGTGTTTTTTTTTCTCAAAATTAACTTTTCCATTTGAAGCAAAGAAGTTGTATATATATGTATATATATATATATATATATATATTGTTGTTGTTCAAAAAAAAAGCTCATAATATATTTAAACAAATATGACTACATTATCATTTTAAGTAAATAAAACCTGATTAGAAAGACCAAAAAAGCCTAGATAAAAAGAAAACTGTTGCTTATCTAACTTCAAAAAGATTTCACATACTAATCAACCATACCACAATAAATTCTTATTTTTGCAACTACAACTCACATATCTATATTATAAGTTTTTGCATATATGTTATATGATAATAAACATAACGACTGTAGGGGCAACTTGAACATATCTTCTGATACATTTTGTTAAACACATTAGGGTTGGTGGTGGTCCAGCTCGTTAAATAATTAGAATCAAATAGTAATGAATATAGAAGTAGGTTTGCTCCTTCCTTAATTAACGCTATTACCATTTAGATATTATGGTGTATTGGTGGGGAGTGGGGACTTTGTTTGTTGATGTGTGCGATGCTTCCTCTATCTTTTTGAAGGGTATACTATAAATTATAATCATCATCAACTGCAATATTATTTATAGTTTCCCAGTCCAGCTACATGATTCACGACAACGTCAGTAATTCAGTTTCGTTATGGTCAAATATTATCACGTCAATTACAGTCAACCTAAAATATACTACTACAATAAAAACTATAAATTAATAATACTGGGACTGAAATATTGGACCTATTTATAGAATTATTATTTAACAATTTTTACTATTTTAAAATATAATTTTATTATATTAAAAATATTTGATTTTTACCATATAGACATTAATTAATTTTCTGAAATACAACTTTTATATGAATTTTATTAGATTATTTTATGTATGTAAAATATGTTTCATAGAATTTAAATATGATTTTAGATATAATTTTATTAAAAATTTCATTATAAATGTAAGACAAACAGTACAGTAGTTTGTTTATACTTATACAAAATGTATGTACATATAAATTATTATTTTGTGATTTTAATGGACCATATTTACATAGGATTTTATAAAATAAAATTATTTTGTTATCTAATAAATTTTATGTCACAATTTGAACCAACTCAATTTGTGATCAAAAGAATTATTAATTTATAGACTATCAACTTATAGAATTTCTGAACTGCTACTCGTAGAATTTGACGATCTAAATGTTAGCTACGTGTTGAAAAAAAAAATGTAAGCTACATTACCGTCAGAAAATTATTATTCAAATGCTTGAGATTTCATGTTCATTAGCTAATATATATATATGGAAACTTGCTTAGTTTGCTTGTTGTTGCACCCGACATCTTGAGAAGCCAGTCCAAATTTTGTACTAGCTATCATTTTCTGCCCACTTATATCCCTATTATTAGATTTTCAAATGCATGTACACCTAGTGGTAAACATATTCATGTGTATCCATCCATATAGCTATGCAGGATCGCTCAAAGAATTGTTGAACATAGACTATACATAGTTACAGATTATTCTCTAGCTATCTATAAAATTTTGTGACCAAATCAAATTTTCTAAGTACTGATCAAGATCTCAGAGTCAAGCTGACTAACCAGAGGCTTAACATCTCATGAACTTATTATATATCAAAAAAATATACATCTCATGAACCTATCATTTATTTCCTTTTCATAGAAAGATCCAATAATATAAGAAAACATAAATGAAGGGGAAAATAACTATTTTCAAGATCCACAAAATATGAATGGACTTTTACTCTATAATTTTGTGCGTGCGTCCTCCTTAAAATATGGGATGATAAAATATACCTAGTAGATATTCCACTAAAGATTCCGAAGTCAACTCCAAAAATCTTATGATATATGAATGGTACAAGAAAACAATATATGTTAGCAAAAAAAAAAGAGGAAAACTATATATAAAGTAATATAGCATAATAGATTATGATTTATATCGCATGGTACTCGACAATGATACAATATGTCCACCCTTTAATTCTCTTCTTCCGCGGTTCTACTCCTATCAACTCTTACAATTTCTTCGTCTATTTTTTTTGTTTCTCATTACCACTCTATTTTCAACAACAAAAAGACTTTCAGTAGTTTCATAATCTTGAAATGTTTTGTTCAATACATCCAGTTTCAGTCCAATACATAACAGTAGCCTTCATTTGAGCTACAGCATCGATTTTCTTGAACGTGATAGTACCATTATATTGATACATCTAAATATATTTGTAAAATTTAATACAAACGAAAAATATTTGGTTAAAATCTTGTGAATAATTGCACTGGCCGCAATTTGTGTGACTACAATCAAATAAGAACCACAAATTCGAGAACTTGAAGTCCTGGTGACGGCAATTATGGAGCTTAATGAAAATAACACATCTCTACTTTGTTCACCTATTTATGTTTTCGTCAAAAATAAAGGATCTCTGGGGTCAATGATCCCAATGTTTTAACTTGAAGGGTATAGCTAGTGTTTAGTTTAGAGTTCACTCAAGTTACTTGACACTTTATTGTTCAGTGTTTATATTCTCAAAAGCAGTGACACTTGGAACACCACGATTTGGTCTCCCTTCAGAACCTTTATGTCATTTCCAATATTGATTATTTTCAGTATTCAATGTTCACATACATATATCTTTGTAGAATCTATATAATAATAGTACACTTTTGAAGCTCCTCAGCGTGTCCACGTTAACAAGTTTACGGGTCCGTGCGTGTTATTAAAGAAAACAAAAATGTATAACATTTTGTAAGATTAAATGTTATCGATGAGTGATTAAATGGCCCAGTAGTGTAAGTTGGTGACGAGAAGTTGGTACCGCGAGTGCGCGGGTTCGAAATGTAATGCTTGCGTGTAATTTTTTTTTTTTAATTTGGACTTTTCGGGATACGTAAAAGCTTAGGGAGATTCAAAATGATTTTTTATGCTGGTTGTTGGGATACAAAATGGCTTAAGGATTTGAAACTTTATGAGACTATCTTATATACTTTTATAAAAAAGGTTATCATGTTCTAACCTCTAATAGCATTTCCATTCAGTTATAATGATCAAATAAAATAAAAACATATTTTTCAATAATAAATATTTACCCCGAACCATTCAGATCGACCATAAGTCTCATATACATCACAATTTAAAAAAAAATATATATATACAACATAATTTCAGAAAGAAAATTACACTAATAAACACATGTCCTTTTTTGTCTTGTCTCCATTAAATTATTATTTTTACATGAAAGCACTAATAACAGTAATGCTCGATAAAATCTATATAAAGGGAATGCTCGATAAAATCACTACGAAGATAAAATATGAAAATATTAACCCATATGAATTTGATGTTTATTCTTTTATCAGACTAATCAAGCTGTGTGACTTCTAATGTTTCATTCATCACTATTATAGATAAGCCAGATAAATAAATGTTAAAAAAAAACAGCAAAGTCTCATACACAAAACTACACAACACATCAACAACGTATCCAACCCCATGCAAGCGCGGGGACTATGCATCTAGTTATTTTAATCTCCCACCGTATTTCTGATCTGCTGCAGAAAGAAAAATACTTATAGCTGATTAGTTAGATGTTATTTTTTATTGCAATATCCTTAAAGCAGTTTGTCTATAATTGATCAGTTCACTTCCAAAAAATCAGATAATCATCTATTATTCTGCTAAGCATCTTTTTCTATTTGTGGCCAGAAGTCACAAATTGATTGAAAACTAAATTGATTCTTTATCTAGAAAATAATGATATTTATATTTATTTTATAGTTTAGCAGCTGCGTTCGGTTCAATATAATTTAATTACTAATTTGTATGATCAATTTACAGAAATTATTTTATTAATCCTCCCAATTACAGGCTAAATAGGGATAATCTCAAAAGTTATGAGGTCAAATTGCAAAAGAAATAAGTAAACAGAACCAACCTTAAATTACAGAAAAATAATCTCACTGGAAAGAGTATAGTTTGGACTGATATTACTAACAAAAAAATCCCAAATAATCGAACATATAATTTAAAGCTGAAAAGATGACAAACTTTTTTAAAAGAAATTTACAATAGTTTATTTTGTAAATAAATAAAAGAAAAAAATATAACTTGTTTTTTCAGTTTTTGGTTTTGGATTTTAGTTTTGAGATTTGGTTTTTGGTTTTGCTTTACATTTCTTTTTAAATCAGTAAATTTTTAATTGGGTTTATTTTGAATTAATTTATTTTTTGAAAAATAAATTAATTCATAAATTATTTTGACCTTATTTAATATTTTTCTTTAATAGTTTAAGATCAAATAAATTTATATTCCCAAAATTTAATATTTTTCTTTAATAGTTTTTAAGTTTCTAACTCAGCGGGT